TGCTACTCTTAATTAAAGAAAATCGATACAATTACTTGATAAATTTATTTTAATTTTTAAAAAGAAAGTTTACAATAATTTAATACATAAATTGATTTGATAAGTAAAATCATTTTATTTTGAGATTTGATAAGAGACAAATCATATTATGTTAGGCATAGTTGGTATTATAATACTGCGGCTTTCGATTCTATTAAAAATGAAATGTATCACACATGGAGAGGAAAGTAGAGAATTTGAAAACTAGATACGACTAGATCAAAATAATTGGAAAAGATTCGCCTCCAGTTTGCATTCATGAAAAATATCTAGTGTCTTCCATTCTCTTTTACATGCCTCATAAGCTAGAATAAAAAAACTTCTAAATACTCAAAAATTTTATTTGAAAATAAGGTATATTTAGCTTTTGTAATTACATAAACACGTGTCATATCCAAATATGAAATATATATATCATTATCGGAGGCTACAAATTACTTAAATAGACCATGGAATAATAAATAATATGGGATAAGTTGTTATAAAATAGAAGATGAAGAATAGTATTCTTATAAAAGAATATAGAAGAATAACTCGGACACCTTTAATACTTATTAAGGGCATTACATTAGCATTATATTAGTATGAATATGGAATTTAGAATATTTTTTAATAAAACTTGTGTTGAATTCATCTTTATATTCCCATATTTTACATATAGAGATATACTGATGGACATATTATTGAAAATACTCTTGATATAATTCAAACATTCAATTTAATTGGATATAAAGTTTATTTCAAATGACAAATTTCTTTTAAACTAATTAATTACCTGAAACTCAATATTTGCTAATTTTCTCAAATTTTCATAATTAATAATTCGAGTATAAGAGAAAAAACTTCGCTCATATATAATTATATTGATTGGAAACTAGAATTATAAATATATTATAACCAATAGTTGAATTTTAATATCTTAACAAATAATCGATTATCATGAAAATTCTTAAAACAATGTTCGATCGTCGTAAGTAAGTATCTAGCTCAATCCATAAAGTACCCCTCAATTAAAGTAATCCCCCACTCGATTAATTCCGGGAAGTATCTAAAAAGCGAGACGAACCAAAAAATAAAAATTTCGAACAAGACTACGGCAATTAAAACTGAATCGTGTAACGTCCCTCCGTCTCCATATCGCATCGGCAACATTAAAAATCACCTTTATCTACCTAATTACGAATCCTGTCGACTGGACTCTACACTCTACACGCACGTGGCTGCATACACGTTAAACTTCCCTCTCTCCGCTCCACGCTCAGGGTGGATTATTTTATCGGCGCTGGGGCTTATCGTCCTCATACTCTTCATCCAGATTCCTCTCCTTGTTATGCATGTATGTGCATCACTGTTCAGTCCTAAGCACGTTCTATCGATGAATCACAAAGGGAAATGACAACCACGCGAATAATTAAGAGGCAAATCACTTTTCTTTATTACAGTTAGTTGGCTATGTGTATTTAAAGCACTTTTTAAACTGCTGCCTTTAATGGGTAATGACTTTTTAGTTATTCTTTTGTGAAATAAAGGCACCCGAAATATTCTATGAATAAATTATATTATTCTCATTTTTATATATATATAATACCTGATCGAAGTGGAGTATAATTATTCACTCCAAGATAATCTACTCAGCAAATACAATAGCTTAAAGTCATAAGTACTTCATATTTTTGCCGAACGAATGTATTTTTTGTTTTGTTTTGTTTGTTTTTCTAAAACAATTGCTAACAAATTACTATAATATAAAATCAATAAGAATAAGCAAAGAATATATAAGTTCTTTTCTTACAATAGTGACACATCAGTAACTGACCTAAATGTAACGCGACTCAATTAATAGGAATGCAAAAAGTGAAACTTTAATAAAAAGTTGAACGATTGTTCTCTCTCTCTCTCTCTCTCTCTCTCTCTCTAATTAATGTTTGCGTCACTCATACGTAAGAATTCATTTCCAGACGAAAGAATTTGCTGCTCTTTTAACTCGTCGACACGATTGCTCACGGCAGTTTAACCAATTCAATTCTATTCAATAATTATAGTATAAATGTAAATATTGATATTTTCAAGTTAAATTCAAGTTATTATGAAATTACCACAACTACATGAATTAATATTGATTAATATTATACAATGTCTGATATTTTAAGTTATACTTTAGCATTATTTATATCATTATGATAATCAGCCGCCATGTTGTATGAGTGTAAAATAAGATTACAATTAATAATATATAATATTAGTTGTATATGAATAATTAAATGTTAGAAAAAATAAAATTATAATATCTAAGAATAATAGATGCATAGTTACAATAAATATTTATTACAGAAAAAAGTCTATCGTACTAATTACAAAGTACTGTTAATTTAAAATTTAAATACAATAATTACAAGTGTCATCTCTATTATGATTAACTTTACTCTTCTACGAACAATACAACTGACGTAAAAAAATTCGATAAAACAGAAAAATTACGTTTTTTTCGTAAAATAATTTTGGTCTCTCCGATGTCGTAATTATTTAACTTAAATATACAAGTGTATAAGAAAAATTTCTAATAGGAGTTTTTAAGACAACAAATTTTGTTCCTGTTTTATTACACGTTTGATTTCATAACATCACTCATTATTTTCAGTACATTATAAAATGCAATAAATATAATTCTAAACGCCACTTGCCACGTAATTTTGTTCTACAATGAGCAATTAAATATCAAGGACCTGTATACCCAGTAATTACGAAAGATCTTAATGCATAAATTATCTTATATAAAACATCGTAGACTACTTTTTCATGCTCTTCGTCGTCCATGTTCATGGGGTCGGAACGTTTTTTTTTGGATAAAATTATATATTTGAAATCTTATTGAACATATGATTAACTTAATACTAACAAATTTCTTGGAATAATTTTTATTTTTAAAATACTTGTATAATTTTAAAACACTTTTAAATAATTTTTATTTTTAAATTATTTAAAACTCATACCTGTTTCTCCGATGTATTTACTCTTGATTGTTAATATAGAAATTCATGCTTAATGAGTTTTACTGCTAATTTTCCTAAATCTATTATAAAATAAATAACTTTTAGTACGCGTTACGACAAGATTAAACATTGTATAATAATTTAACACACCGTTCTAATTGACATTAAAATGATCGAACCCTAATTGTCCGTACATTTGAACTTTCGTTTTTCCTGAGCAAGCAATAATCACCGCGCAAAAACCAAAGCGAGCATACTTATCAAGGAACGGGAGGAAGAAATACCGACTCGTAAAAATTGCAAGTAGATAATGAGATAAGACTCGGTACGACGGAGGATAAAAGTCGAGCGCGAATAAAGGTCGAATCACGATAAGGAATAAACGATCCTTCGGTATTTTCATCCGCGTCGCGACTTCTATGGCGATGCGATTGCCCAGTTTTAATTAACTCGCCGACTCTATCTATCTTTTCGGATCTTTTAAACCTGTATGACCCTTTGTGCTCGTAAAGAGTGAGAGCAGAGAATGCCTAAAAAGAAAATTTCATCAATGTATAAAAAGCATTTCGCTAATTCCATTGCAACTTATTTTATCATTTATTGTTCAGACGATAGTCCAGTGTTCGTTTTCATAAACATTCAGTAATAAGCGATGCGAAAGTTATCGATTAATGAGAAAATATATAATTTCATGTTTCATTGTATTATGGAAGATAATATTATTATAACGTTATCTAATCAAATGCCACGAACGTGCAAATTATCTTCAACCATAATTATCGACAAATTATATGGTTAAAATTAATTTAAACAATTAACGCGCATTTTCAACAATTAAACTTAATTATTCAACTTAATTATAGAAATCATTTCGACTATTTAAACTCTTTTGACAGCTATCAACTACGTTTCTCTTTCACAATTAACGCACGATATTTTTATCCGATCATATGATTTATACGCATATGACTTTCTCTCTACACGTCTACATCTAAACATAATAAAATGACGAATAAAGTTACATAGCGTCAGTATTGCTCTCTCAAGCTTAAAAGACAATGGCAAATTTGTCATTCTTACCTATCTACTTTCGTACTATCCTCGTTTATTAATTTCATTTACTAAGAGCGATGATCAAGCGAAGAAGCAGTAAGCGCAAAGTTCGGTCAATTGTGTTCGCTATTACTCTACGTGCGATATCAGCATGTCTTCTTAATTGATAATGAGAGTTGTGTTCAGTCCGGCACGTATTCCCCTTTTGGTCTTCGTTCGGTCTCCCGACTCCTTTTTATTAACTTTAATCTTTCCATTGATCCATATTACTTCTTACGATGGCTTCAATTACTACGTCACACCGTCCTCGTGCTTTTATAAAAGCTTAAAAATAAATGATAAATGCAAATTAGACATATATTAATGAAGTTCAGAGTCGAATATGTTATATTAAGTCCTTGAATATCTATCGTAATAAATAATAAACAAATTATTATTAATTACCTTGACACGAGCAATCACTTTCTCCTGTATAATAACATACATTCATCAGAATTTACTAATGATTTAAAAACTTAAAATTTAAACAACCTCTATCGATTATTCTAGATATTAAAAATAAAATTAAATTAATTAGATTAAAATGAATATTATTATTTTTATTTTATCGTAATAATAAATGCGAAGGGACAATAATAATAATAATAACCCAATGTCGTAAAAATCTAACTTAGAATGGGTATTTATATTTTAAGAAAAAAACGTACGTAAGGAGTTGTTAAACTTTGTATTTTGAATTGATTCATAATAAATGGCTTTTACTAAACAAGGGAAAAAGTTTACCTCAGAATGCATAGTCAATGCAACCGTACGAAAGCTCCGTGGTTCGTTTCATCATCGTAATCGTATTTTTTTTTTTTTTTTTTTTTTTTTTTTTTTTTTTTTTTTTTTTTTTTTTTTTATTATTATTAAGATTGCCGTAAGATCACAGGTACGAAAGTAGAAGAAGCCGAGGAAGAGGACGAGGGTGATGATGATGAGAAAATGGAGGAGAGGACTCGTGAAGCGCCAAGGCGCTTCTCTCGAAAGTACAAAGTGAAAGATGTGCCGCTTTCTCGTAATCATAGACTCTTGGACAAGGACGTAACCATCCCGTCGTTCTTCAACGCGCCGCAGCTTCGCCTTCCGCTTGTTTGCACTGCGTAGTTTTATCGCGTCAGTCTCGCTGGCTTTCTTTTTCACTTCACGAGGGATCTTTTATAGTTTGCGGATTCGCATGCTGGAAGCGGCATTTTTGATGTAAAGTATCGGCCCTCGGCGATTATGATTTCGATCTTACGGAGTCGAGGTTTCAACCATAAAGGTTTTTTAATTCTTGAGGGCTTGGTGAAAGGTCATGCGACGATTGGAGCTGAAAATTGTCAAAAATTACATGTTAGTATCTGTTGATAATTTATTCGACGAAAACTACACGTACGAGTGCGAACACGACGAAAACCGCTTATTCTTCATAAAATTGTGTCTTAAGTACATATTTAGAATTTAGACTTCAAGGATAAATATTTAATTGCCAGTGGCAATTATCGTACAAATGTTTAATTATTTAAAATCATTATGCGTTGTATATATTGTTATATCATCAATATAATGTTATTTAAGACGATTATATTAGCAGGATTAATTTATTGGTTAATTTATTGCGTTATATAAGTCCTCCGATTATAATTGACGATTAAAATTACAAAATGAAAATTGTTAAAATTAATGGTTTTGCATAAAAGATATTAACGGCACTGGAGCATTTTCGCCGACAGTTAAACCGTTGGGGATTTATAGGATTGTAGCGATATATAGCAAATGCTTTAAACATTAAGGGAAAGTCTTTCTTGATTACTGAGACTGAAAAGAAAACAGACGCCAAGAAAGGATCTATGGAAATTCGCTGAATAATATGTCGCGTACCCTCGCGTATGCTATAAAAACTAGAATAATTATAATTCCATATCGGCAACGAACAATAACAATAAGTGTTTAATTAAAAATTGTAGGCCATACACGACGGTGCCGATTTTCAATGCTTATCTTTCAGAAGGTGGCATATTGTGCATTTTCCAAGATACGTCATCGTAAAAGAAACTGTTTAACAACGCGATTCAAAATGTTCGTCTGGGGCGCGAGAAAATAAACCAGGCCGAGCGATGTTACATTTATTCATCGGTCAATCGGATATCCTTTTTCCTCGTCTTGTGTAAACTTACTTAAGTGAGCGCAGCTCGGTTGCGGGGCCATGAGCATAATTTTCCTATGCGTCGGTATAACGGCTGAGGTTGGTATTATATTTATGGAAATCTCGTTCCTGTTCCCTTGTAACTCGTTTTGCCTGCGGCCGCTGAACAAGGAGCTTCGATTATTCCGGCCGACGCTGATGCTGTAGCCAATCGCCTGGAGATTCTGCTTGCAGTTAGTCACGACGTACGTTCCCACCTTTGTTTTTTTGAAACAAACGGCCAGCATTTACGTGTGGCTCGGCTTTCGCGTATACTTTATGGGCTCGCACGGGATTTAAAATTAGAGACAAATGGATCGAGAGAGAGAGAGAGAGAGAGAGAGAGAGAGAGAGAGAGAGAGAAGCGAGAGAGATTGCTTTCCGTTTCAAATTTAAAGTAAGGCAATGATTAGACAACCGATCGCTTTAATCTCCTTCTTTTATTACGCACTCAATATTCGAGTGATCGATCGATTTCAAATATTTACTCAAATAGAAATGGGAACATTAAAAACTAATCGTCTTCGTACTTAATAGCAATATTTTTCTTTCTCTTTATTTCAATAGACTGAATAGACTTTTTACAAATAGAAAATAATTCTGTAAACATATATATTAGAATGTCGTAAATAAACTATACAATTATTTATAGTTGTATTTCAATTAACACGAATGTGCATTAATTTTCGTCCATCGATTATTTCCATCTTTTCTTGCTTTAATAACAATTTGTCATAGATGTATGATCATAGATATAGATCTAACTTTCTATAAACATTGATTATCTTTATACATTTACTTTATCATTTTAAATAGATAATGTATAACAAACTTGTTAATTTATTTTATACATTAAATAAAAATAATTAATTCTTATAAAATAATTCTTTATGATATTAGATAATTTCATAAAAATACATATTTAATTTAAAGTAAATTACTTGAATACACTCTCAAATTTAATACAACTCATAAATAATTTATCCTTATATATATTGTTTTATTACAGACTTATAACTATAATATTTCATAAAAATAAAATCATTATTATGGCATACTATCGATTAAAATCAATATTTAGTTTAATTTTTCGATATTTTACATGAAAAGAAATATAAAGATATTTAGGTATTTGTAACCTCCCAGCGATAATACATTTTATTACAATTTTTCAATTATAACGGTAAATATCGTTACACACAAACAAATAAAAAATAAATTTGATGAACAAATTGGAGAAATAAATTGAAATTTAGAAATATTTCATCATTTACCGTTTAAAAGAAAACTAATTAGTTGACTTAATATTTTTACACCTGTAGTATAGGATACGTATTATTATTAATGTATATCAATACGAATCAACAGACATATTTAGTATTGTATTTTTCAAAATTTGTGTGTTTTTAGTGTAAAGTACCTTTTTTATTTATTTCATTAAAAAATAAAAGCAGTAATTTATATTTAATTTTGATATCATATTATTAAATACATATACTAATATATATATATATATATATATATACATGTGTGTGTGCGTGCGCGCGCGCGCGCGCGCGTGTGTGTGGTATTAAATAAATTGTAATTAAAATTGTAATTTCATATTTTAACAATGATCTTTTATTATCCTTATTTGAAAATTAATAAATTAATTATATTAGGGGATATTTAAACATAAGCTTTTAATTTATAAATGTTACGTTAAAATATTGAGGTTTATTTCTGAATATACATGTAAAGCAAACTAACTGCCAATTAGTTTTCTGATATATTCTAAGAAACTCAACAAATTGTAGTCTTCTTATTTATCTAACAACAGAGGACTATCGATAAAAATTCATTGGCAGTACCTTATTCGAAAAAACAAAAGTGTGACAAGTTTTTTTTTTCTCTTTCACGAATATCCCATCAGCATAAAAACAAACAAGGGTGTTGATCCTTAAAGGGAAAAAGGATTCTCGAAACGAGAGTAAGTGCTTTTCATTTATTAAAAGCTAATGGTATTGTATCGCTATTGTTTGATAAAATTAAAAATGCAATAAAAGATAAACATAATTTTCTGTAAAGTGTTTGAAATCGCAGCTTTTAAAGTTACTCGCGGAAGAATATTTTTTAATGAATATCACATATGGAATGATATTCAATAAAACGGAGCTTCTATAAAACATTACCGTATTGTAATAACAATATTATAAGTCGAAACTAAAATTCTTGGTCAGTTCCGATGCTTAAAGGTGTAGTGCTTAATTCAGGCAAGAATGGCGCCAAACATTGAGTTAACGTTGTCGTTGCCCCAAAAATATACCGTTGCACAGCATAGCCCCCCCCTTCCCCATTCCAATCCCTCCTAACCGCACCACACCACTTTTCCCTCGTTCTCTCTTCCTTCTGATTATTTTACCGAGCAAGCGAAGCTGCTGAGATAGGTTACTTTCATTGTACCTTGTTCCATATTTTTATCATTTAATATAAAATATTCGATAATATTCTTTACACTTTAATATTTTTATTTAATTATATTTATTTATTAATATTTCTTAGTATTTTAATTATAATTTAATGCTGATTCTAAATACAATTTCAAATACAATAACATTCGGATATATTTGTTACGTTTAAATGCTTGACAATAGTATGGATTTTTTTGTACATCTTTTTTCTTTATTATAGTGTCTAAATGTTTAATTTTACTTTAATAACTGGAAGCTGTTTGACAAATATTTTATGTCGAATCGAATAAATAGTAATTTTATGCACTATATAATTTTAGATTTATAGGTATTATATATATATATATTTTTTTTTTTATCAGTTTTTAAGAATGAGAAGCAAATAAAAGTAAATGACTAGTGATTGATAATGACTTTTTTTTTAAAATTTTTTTTTTTTTTTTTTTTTTTTTTTTTTTGTTCATTATGTCATTCGTAATTCTTGAGCAAGACATGGAAAAAGATTGAAATCTCTTTGTTTCGAATCAAGATTTCTAAGAAGAAAACTTCGTGTCCGACAAGTCCTTTCTTTTGCCTCTAACTTTCAATTCAAAATGTGACAAGCACGTTGATTTGATTATTGTATGTTGATTATTGATGTTTAACCATGTATACAATTTCGTGTAACCATCCTCGTGTTGTGTGTTGAATTCGCAGTTGTGGAGAATTCGCTTTATTTTCCACTCACGAGCAGAGTTGCAAGCTGTACGTTCGCACGATTGCCTACATAATATGAGTCATTTAATGCTACAAAGAGCTCTTTAGCTTCTCTTACAGATCGTGTATTTTTCACTTTTAGATTTGAAAAAACAGTGCAAAAGTTTTCTTTCAAACAGTATCATTAAATGAATTTAACATTTCTAAACATTCAGAAATTAGCTGGACATTCATTTTAGCTATTATCCAATGATTTATTATTTAATTATTTCTATTAAATACGTTCTATCAAGGACAAATTTCACATATTAACTAATAATTTCTCAACCATAAATTTTGTTTAACAATGTAATATTTATGCCCTTGAAATGTTAATAATATTTAACCAATCTTAGATATTTTTATCACCAATATAGAACTGGATTTCCCCGACACGAGTTAGTTGTTTTTTAGTAATGTATGTTTTCTATTGTATATCCAATGAAATTATCCTATTCTCACGTAGAAATTATTTAAAGCTCTGTACATGTATTTATTATCTAATCGATATTTTTCTTTCGATATTTCATGCTATTTGCTTCTTCTATTTTTTGTCGTTCGTCAATCTATTTATTGTGTACATACATTTCTAAATAAAGATTTGTTTCAAACTTAAAAACCATTTACAAAATTTGTAAATACTAAAATAGTTCTTTTAATTTAACCTTTACATCAATAAATGTATTATTTACTCTGCTATAATTGTTGTTCCTTCTACATATTTGAACTGCAACGCGATTTATGTTATTTTTATTCGTATACGCGGAGGTTGAGGATATTACGATATATTAGTATATTTAGTTTTTCAGTAAATGTACATTATGTTAAATTTTATGATCGCCTACTTGTTCTATAAACAATAATTTTTCGATTAAATAAAAGTTGTTCGGTCTTCTGAATTTTAAAAGTATTGTACACCAAAATTCTATTTATTTTCATGTTTCATATAATTATTAGTATAGAAAATTTATGCACCTATTCAATTGAAATATTTCACTAAAATTATTTGTACTTTATTTGTAAACATTTGTAGTTTATAATTTTGCGGCAACGCTCTATAAACAAGTATTTTTACCAAATTAATCTTACCAATTTAAAAACATATTGTATTGATGAGATGCAAGAATTCAAATTAATTATCATCTTACAGATATTTCAAATTAATAATTAATTTGTTCTAATATTACTATGACATCGAATGGAGTAGAGTTGAAGTAGAAACAAAATTAAAGAAAAAAAAAATAATAAACAAAAAACAAAAATTAACGTCATTTCAGATGATTGTTATATCTTTACTGCTTCTACTAATGTTTCTGATAAAAAAAAATATTTTAAAGTAATCATAAATCTTTACTTTATAGTTCAATGTATTATACTGCGATAATAAATAAAGAAGTAACAATACGTGCGTACATTTGTATATTATTTGAAAATAAACGAAGCAAAACAAAACAAAAATAAATAAATAAATAAATAAATAAAAAGAAGCAAGAATAATCAATGAGAACACAGAAATAACAATTAAATCGTTAATATTTATAAATTAAATTAGACTGACAATTATCTAAAATACTTGTTTCAATCAAATGATATTAATAAAACTGTAATCACAATACTCGTGGCTATATATTTATTTTTATTACGATTTATTATTGTTATTCGTTAAAATATAAGTTTATTTTTATCTGATACGAATACGTTCAAATATCATATAACAATGACGATGGTTTTTTTTTTCTCTTTTTTATACGTTTAGATAAAATACATCAAGTACAAAAATAGTAAATCGATAATTTATGATTGTTTATAGTAAGTATGACATTAACTTACTTTTTTTTTTTTATAAAAAGTTTACATAAAATAATCCATATAATATTCCATAAAATTTATTTCTAAACAACACGGACAAACCGATATCGACGATAATTTTCTTTTTACAATATTTGCATTTATACATCGATACTTTACAACTCTTGGGATACACAATTACGAAATTCACCGATTACTAACTACGACTAAGCTTTTGTTATTTAATTATTTAATTATGATTTTGGCTCACCATCCACAAAAATACGAAATTCAACCATAAGAGCTCCGCTAATTTAATTATCTCTATGAAAAAGTACTAGGCAATCGACCACAAGTTGCATCGAATAGAGGTAATAATCGAATCGTATTGCGTCTCGCAAAAGAAAGCTCAGGCTGACAAGTGGGACTTACCGTGGAGAGAACGATGACGACGAGCAGCGCGACGCTAAGCCAAAAGTACCAGGCTTCCCAAAAATGTTTTGGGGGTCTGCGTTGAATGACGAAGCAGCATTGGGGATTGCAACAGCAATAGAAACAGTACTTATCGGCAGCGCAAGGGAAGGGTTTGCTCACCGCGTCCTCGTCCTCGCCGCCCTTCGTCGAGTTGTCGCACTCGTACGATAGCCGCGCCATGCTCCCAACACCATGTCAATTTTCGCTCGGAATCCTAACTAGAACATACACGCTCGAGGAGACATTGACTTGGCATTAGGTATTGCCATTACGCTACCATGCCACTGTGAAAGCATCCGCACGTGTATTTGTCGAGCCTTCTCTACTACGTGTGATTTAAAAGCATTTTGAATGAAAGCTAAATAAAACTAGGCGTTCACGGCAGTGCTTCGATAATAATAAAATTATCAAAGCCGGCAATCGATCTTGGGAATAGCTGAAATTACCGAATGCTCGGACTAATGGAAATTGAACGAGACACGCATGTTCTCTTCTATGTGCTGAGCTTACGTGTTGGAATCGATTTATTTTCATTTGTTTCGCTTGGTGTGGTCGCAAAACGACATATTTTCAAATAGCTCGTAAATTAATGCCGGATAAATATTTTCATAATTTCTAAATGAAGTTATATAGCTGTATATATATATATATATATATATATATAATATAGTTTCAGTTTTTTTTTTTTTTAATTTTTTTTTTTTACCTAAGCAAAAGTAACGATATTTCTTAAACACGTGATACTCTTATAAATGACTTTTTAATTATAACCGCTTCATACATTTATTTTACAATATATTTTGAATTCATATTACCATGCACCAGCAGGCGATAACAAAATGTTTAACTAAATTAGTCGAGAATGCTTTGATCCTATCAAATATAACAATATAGACTTTACTTTTTGTCAACTTTATCCAAATATTTTTTAAATTTTATATACCTTATTATTATAATTAATTAACGTTAAAAAGCGAATCGGTCAAATAATTAATTTATAAAATTTAATTTAATAATTTTCTTATGATATTATTTACTAAATGTAAATAAAAATTTATATAATAACGTTTTATCCCACTTATTTATAATTAATTTTCCAACTACGTTATTTTGATAAATATTTACTGAATTCATTTGCTTAGTCATAAAATATTGTACAAGGTATAATTTAGATAACCCTTGTGTAAATGAAATAAATATAATGTTATCTCATTTATCATTTACAATCGTGAATTTCCAATGTTTTCTTTTATTTATCACATTTATATTAAATATAATGATAATAATAATGAAATAATTAAGATGGTCTTTAAGTAGTAATTTTGTAGAAATTACTTTTAACCAATAATAGATGACTTTGTTATGTTAATATAGTACCTATAGGCTTGCAATTATATTTTTTAATTATTGTAATTTATTAGTAACTATACTGATATATCTTTTAAAACTCAGTTTATTTGATTTCGCAGTAAATTAAAATTGAATGTTATAGTACCTTACGTAACCTTTGATAGTATAAATATTCACAAATAGAGAAAAAAATCGATGAAAAAAAACAACAACAACAACAACAACAACAACAACAACAACAAATATTAATAGAATTTCCTCGTGATTGCCATGTGACGTTAAGGATAGGACGTACAAATTTATTAATTCATGTACACGATCAATATTTGTTTTAACAAAGCAGAAAATAGACTGCAATCGTCATTCGATGATATCGTGTGAGCACACATACCGTACTATTCAATACTAACAAGTTTTCCATAATCAATTTGAGATTTAGAATTTTAATTGACTCAAGTACCACTGCACACAACTTCTTACTCGTAAACTCCAATAAATTTTTTTTTGCTCCTTTAGCGTTTTCGTCACATTTTAAATTACATTCGAAATAACAACACCCTTGCCACGATTTTCATAGATATGGGCATCTTAGGTAACGCGACAAACTGCTTTTTTTTTTTTTAATTTATCGCCTTAGCTTCAAATTGTTGCTTTTGATATCACTCCAAAAATAAAGCGTTCGTATAATCGAAGCTTAAAACGCGGCAACCGCTGACTCGATAATCTCAAGTAACAACTTTAAAGTAGAATAATTCCCACATCTGCGTGCAACATATGAAAATGAACCAACAGTTGTTACTCACATAAGTGCAGGTCTTGCCAGACGATAGACGTCCGGTAAAATCGTTATTCCATCCCGCGCCACCACGAATGATAGGCGCGTGAGACGAGAAACTACGTCTGCGTCGTAGAAAGTCAGAAAGGAAAAGAACGTCCTGGGGCTGAAACACCGCTTCGTCGTCTCCGCGACTCGCCCGAGTCGTTGTCGTAGTGGCAAGACACGCGAGACTCGCGCGGGGAAACAATCGATATGCAATTTTGCCTTTGGCACGGATACGCGCCACCGAGTGGCCAATCGATATTTCCACTGACCGGCTTTAACGTGACGAAGTTCCGTCCCCCGTGAATTGAGATCGACTCCTAGCGATTACCGAGCCCCGACCTTGTAATCTATGCCGACCCCAACAAACTCGGAGGAGCGACTACACGAAGCTGAGGGATCAATTAGAGAATTGACTTATTTTTTTTTTTTACGGGACCATAAGGATAGACGATCGTGTTCCATTGCATTCGAATGGGATTAAATCGAGTTGTTTGATGGTAAAGACGAGGATTACGTTCGTATGCTACGTTCGAATGAACTTTAGCCGAATTCATGATGCTTTGACGACTATTGAGCTCGTTCGATTTCAATTTAGCCTTACGTAAACATTTCTCTCGATGTTTCTAATAGGAAAATGTGAATAATGGAGTGATAGCATAGAGAAGGAATGAGGAAAATTATTTATTATGCAAATGAAAATAATCGATCGTAAGAATTTACAGTCATTGGAAAATATTTATAATCCTACGTGGACATAAACATTTTTCATTCGCAAAGGTTGTTCTTTAATCATCGCATAAGTATACACTTAATTAATGTTAGATTAATATCAAATCCTAAATAACATAATAGAATGAGTCTTTTGTCGAAAATACCAAAGTCATTTTAAAATATTAATATTGCGATCGTAAGGAATTCGAATTAAATTGAAATAGAAGGAATGCTTAAAAATATTTCAATATGTTTTATAGAAAATGAGCACTACTCCATTTTTTCTTTCTTTTTTTTTTTCATATAATAATTAGTCGGGACTGTAAATCCCTTATACTTCAATAATAATAATGTTAATGCAGCATGTTATATAAAAAATTTCCAATTGAAATTTATTAATTTTTTCTTTCGTTACTATTTGTAATATAGTTTCCGTAGTGAATATTCGATGAACAATAATTACTAATGAATATACATTTTTGTGAATTGAAACCGTTATTTATGTAAGGTCTACAGCTTAATTTTCAAATATTAAGTTCTTATAGTCATTAAGATATGCGTATATAAACCTGTTTATAAAGTTGAATTCGCGAAAGCAATGTAATCATTTAAAAACTTAATCTTCTTAAAACTGAATTTAATACATAATCTTATTATAAAAGGAAAATTATTACAAATTAGTTGAAACTACATATTCGTATAGATTATAATTTTCATATATTTTATGCGGTTAGTACTTGGTATTTACTGTAGTATTAATTTTTTCACTAATAATTTTCTTTGATTAAAAAAGAAAAATATTTATATATACATAATAATTCGTATATTCCAATATAACGCTTCGATGATGAAATTTATTATTATTGTTAAAATTACGTTATATTATTTTTATATCCGCGCAACTACATACAATTTCATGAAATTTTATGTCCTTGTATTTTGTCAAGCTTTTTAGCAAAAAATGAAACGTTTTGGTCAAGTTCCAAAAGAATTAATAATCATAGTTTTTCTCATTTACATCTTCTTTACTATACTTGAGATTAATATTTTGTAAACCGGAAAATTTATGACATTACCGGAAGAAAGTTCTTTTATTTGATTATATGAAATTTTTAATTTTTAAGCTTTCGTCCAACTTTGTCGTTAAGTTTTTTTTTTATAATAATAATAGTATAATTATGTATAATATTTAGTTATAGTACGATAGTACGAAATAGAGAGAAAATTAACCTGTATAATTTTAGTTCAAAATTAAGTTGTCATTGGATCAAAAATATAGTTGAATAATATTGTAGACACGAGTTCGTTAAGTCTATTATTTTATCGTCTCCGACTCCATTTTTAATTCTCAAATATAAAAATTTAATGATTTTAAATTTTCTAATCTTAGTGTACAAAAAATACACATCTGTCCTATTGTTTTCTCGATATGATAAAATGGAGTATAGGCAAGACTATTGAAGAAGCGATCAATCTATTTCACCACCAGCAGCTCGCTAATTTTTATGCAATAATTGTAACGGCAAAATAAAATTATAATATGCGTATTCGGCATAAATTGTGTTTAAAAAAAAAAAAAATTGGAATTTTTTTTAGGATTTTTTGCCATTTTTTAAATTAATGATATTTTAAAGTCTCTTATTAAATGTTAAAAGCAATTCGACTGAAATTGACTGAAATGGTTGAATTAACAAGGTTACAAATATTGATTTTTCAGGTCAAAAGCATAAACACACGCACTATCATTTTCTAAAATGACTTTTCAAAGCAGCGTTAAACAGCATAATTATTCTAGTAATAATTACACATTCGAGTGACTATAAATTTCATAAAAATAAGTAGGAATAAAGTAGAATTCAAATCTCCACATATATGCCAAGAATCGAAATACATACGTGTGACAATTGTCAATAAAAAACGAAAGCAAATTGGTTTACCGTTACCATTAAATAAACGATGTCTTTAAATTTTAAAAGTAAAATACATTTTTTTTTTAATGATATATGTATATCCATATGTATAAAAAAATCCTTAAAACAAATATTTTTCAAAACTTTATTTATTAATGTCGATGGAAATTTCTTGAAATTTAATTTAATAAATCAATTAAATTAATGTAATGTCTTATATTTCTAATGTTATATTAAATTTTACACAATCCTAATATTTATTTGATGAATTTATTTTTTAGTTTTCTATTTTCAATTTTTTATTAAAAATACATTTTTAAGTTCAAGCCAATTTTTGCTTAAAAACCAAAAATTTGATTTTTGATTGTACAATCGATATTGTTTATGGGATAAAGATTTCATGCGATCCAACTTCAACTGTCTTCTGGCATCGCGAAATATCCTTCTGTTACAATATTTAAAAAAATGATTGTAATCCTGCAATTTCATAAACAAAATTCTCAAAAAAATTTATATTTGTTCTTTTTTTACTATACGTTTTAATTTTATATTTTATATCTTTTTTACTATACGTTTTAATTCTAAATCTATACCCTTTGATGTCGTTTCCATAATGACATTTAACTTCACTAATGTCATAAGTTTCAGATTCGTGTGTGAAAATTACTACTTGCATAAACAATTAATAATCTTACTTTAAATATAAATATCATTATTTGTATTTACAGCTCATTAAATATATTGTTAAATATAATTTAACAATTGATATTTGAATATTATTATACGTTTTAAAATTAATAATAAAATCAATTAGCTGTAATTCGGAAATCCACAAAGCACTTAAGAAACTATCTCTCTTATTGATATAAAATGTTTAAATAAAATATTTAATTCATTGTTACAAATTATAAGCATACATATTTGTGAAAAATTGATAAAAAATTTTGCATGTTGGAAAATAAAACATGATTAAAATAAATATTAATAAAAATTAAAATAAAAAATAAAAATGATTGAACAATTTATTTGAAGTCAAATTGTATTATTTAATTAGTTTTAATATTATCGAGTCTTCAGTTATTAATTACCTTTACATAAAGTTCAAGTATTATTAAAATATACATGTTCTTATCCGTTGTTATTCTTATTCAGAAAAAAAATATTAAATGACTTAAAACCACAATTATTATATTAGCTAAGAAGGAAATGAATTTTATGTTTAAATTTTTTGTTCTAATGTCTAATTCATAATAATTTTAAAATATCAGTATTAATATATGAATATTAAATGAATGAAATTGTATAAGGAAAAGGAATATTTTGGATTCCATTTGCCATTATTATTGAAATAATGAATTCTTAAACTATAATCGAATTAAGTCGTTAAGCTGTATATTAAAGTATAAAAAGTACTTTATAGTAAGTAATATATAGATTTGCAATTGTATGCACTAACTGAATTATTATTACGAAAATAAAAATTTTTTATATAAAATTTATCAAGTTTATATTAAAATTTGTTTAGAAAAGATATTCTTTAGAAAATTCATTAACCATTAATATTTCGCAACCTGTACATAATATTCTTAATTCATGTTTTAAGTAAAAGGAAAAAGTATATCAATGATAATAACCATTGTACATTTAAATTAAAATCATAGAAGGTACTGTTGTTGTTACATAGTCCATGATATATAAATACAAATATGTATGAAATTGAGTTTGTCTTCGACACTTGCACAATACACAGAAAAAGCTTCCAGAGCTCGCTAGAACTGGGTACCGTCGTGAGGTGGTGGTGGTGGTGGCGGACCTCTTGGGGGGAAAGGAGGAGGTGGGTGTGGATGCCTCCAGCCGGGCGGTCCCCTCGGTAGCGGTGGCTGAAATTGTCCAAACTGGGGTGGTCCAGTACTTGTGGGGGGTGGGGGTGGCGGGAACTGTCCCTGCTGCGTTCCAACGCTCCAATGCGGAGGCGGCATCATCCTCTGCTGCTGTCCTTGTTGACTTGGCATAGGCGGGAGCGGAGGTGGCATGCCCGGTGGTAATGGCGGATGTGCAGGCATATTGGGCATTGGCGGCAGTGGTGGTGGTGGAATATTGGCAGGGAATCCCGTAGGTGGAGGTGGAACCGGTGGGGGTGGCGGATGACCGATTGGTGGCATGGGGGCAGTCGGCGGTGGCGGAGGCGGCATTACCATGCCATGCATCATGTGGTGCTGCGGATGAGGCTGACTCATGCCGACGTTGGGCATCGACGTGGGGATGAGCGGAGGGGCATCCGCGAACAGCTGGTGAGGTCTGTCCGCCTGACTGAGAGGATTTTGGGCTGCGAGAAGACGCTCCGCAGCGCTCCCGTGACGCTCGCCCTTTGCATCACGCTTGAAGGCGTAAGACACTGAAATGGGTCGATTGCAGAGGTACTGCCCATTCATGGCTTCTATACTAGCGTCACTTGCGTCGAAGGAAGCAAAATTTATGAAGGCAAAACCCTTGGAATTTCCAGTGTCCGGATCTCGCATGATCTGTAATGCGTATTTATAATTTAGCACATTATTGTACAAATATAGAAAAACGATGCAAATATTAATTTACGTAATTATATTAAAAGTCAAAAGTATTCGAGTCATGGAAATTGCTAAATACATTTTATTTATTTTTTTTTTTATCTTCAAATATAAAGCCTAATAAACTAATTTACCTTTGGTGTTTGAAGAATGACTCCAAATGCACTGAATGTATCGTACAATAGTTTCTCATCAACTTCTGGATCAAGATTGCCAATAAAAATGTTAGCACCAACATCAAGATTCTTTTGATGTGCACTAGCTTTATTTACACGTATGGGCTTTCCATATAATTTAATCATATTCATTATTTTTATTGCATAATCTGCATCTTCTTCTCCCATAAATTCGACAAATCCGTAGCCTTGATGCATTTGCGTTACTCTATCCTTTGGCATATGTACATTAACTAGAAGCATTTAATTAAAAGTGTTTATTGAAATGTTAGAACTTTCCTATTTGAATACAATTTAACTAGATTAAAAAATAAACGATATTACCAACTGGCCCTGATTGTACAAATAATTCCCATAAAAGGGATTCAGAAACTTTATCATCCAAGCCTCCGACATAAATTGTTGCATCTAAAACAAGAAACAAAATGGTTATAGGTTAACATACTCATTCTTAACAGAAAAACATATATGCAACAAAATATATTAATTTCTTAATTAAAATTAAAATCACTTTTATTTTTTATAAATTAATATTATGTTTTTTAAGTATTTTTTTCGTTAATTTTTTCAAACGCATTATAGGTTATAGAACAAAATTTACGATTTCTATGAAAATTTTAATTAAACAAATAAGATATTAATCACGTATAAAAAGATAAATAAATTAGACGTATTCCGATTCAAATAATTTGAATAAAAGTAATAAATATATGTAATTACCTTGATTACGTTCCGCTATCGGACCAGCCGCCATTTTTCAATAAATGTGAAACCGGACCAAACTGAATATAGCAACTCTACAACTGATATAAAAAAAAAATATATCGAAGTAGAAATTTACTGAAAATATTTTTAGATGGTTCGTTTTTTTTCTTTTTTAATTTTAATTAATAATGTGGATGTTATCGTCCCAAATTTATTTACAAATATTAGCATTATAACAGGATTAACTCTGTAATAAAATCTCATAAATGCGCTACTTTTAAAATATATATTAGTATTCTGAAATTTGTACTTTTATAAAAAAAAATATTAGTTAGTAATTTAAGGAATTTAACAAAACAATATAGCACAAGAATGTATATTTTATTTCTTATAGGCTTATATTAGAGGAAACTGTGACAATCATACAAGATATTGACGATTTACAATTCAATGAATCAAAATTAATTTAATTTACACAGAATCCATTCAATCACGCGTTCATACACTACGACTTTAAAATACATACAAAATTATTTGTCTGACACAGACAATTGCCAAGGTAGAATTGATCCTTAAGCTTTATAAAGAGAACATATTATGTATAACTAAAGCTAAAGATTTATTTTATATATTTTAAGAATTCCTTATTCCAAGTGCTTGTTCGAGCTCTGCTCGCTTCTGTTGAACTTTAGTATAAAAGTATCGACAGACTGCTTCTTGAGCCCAAGGCTGATAATAAAACTCGGCTCTGCGTTCTTCTTCTGGATTACCCACAACGTCAGTCATAGTTTTCAGATCTCTCGTTTGCGATATTATCCACTTATTAATAAATTGTTGCGGATCTTTTGCAAAACTGAGGAAAAATTCTCGATTGGTTTTCAATTGATTTATAGTTTCCACTGTTTCGTGAATTTTATTATCGAGACTTTGAATCTCTTGTTGACTAGCCGTTGATAACAAAAAATTATTCATTTGTGTTTTCAATGTATCATCGACTTCTACATCAATATCATAACAGGCTGTTTGCTTTGTTTCTGTACCTAAAAACGAAAAACATCAATTCTAATAAAGCTAATATTGGTTTATTATGACGTTTAATAATTATTTTAGAATGACATCGCATTTTCATAATTACAAATAAAAAAATAAAATATATAACTGAGTAATTATCGTATAAAATAAAGATATAAGCATAAGGTATCGTAAAAAAAAAACTAATTTTATTTGAAATATTAAGTAAAAAGTTTTTTTTTGCATAATGTTATAACTAAAATAACCAACCTTCTACACTAATAACATGATTAATAACAATTGGATCTGGTGGATGGAGAAGGGGATTTAAGCGTTGAGGAATTTCGGCGAATTTCATTCTTGGACATGCAAAAATTTGCTCCAAATATTTATCGCAATTAATGTACTCTCGTTCATGGCTATCTTGAAGCTTATGTGTTTTTATATATTGCCAAAGAGCTGAAATAATGACCGGCCGAGTTTGCGTATGAACTCCCAATAAACGAGCTAATCGAGGATCGAGTTTAAACTGAAAAAAAAAAAGAAAGAAAGAAAGAAAAGAAAATTGTACTAACCTATTATGTAAAAGATGATTTTTAGATTAAAACTTTACTCCCAATACCTGTAAAGGTTGATAATCAAGTAGTAAGAGAATGGTACATCTGACATTTTTATCGCCAGGTCTTTTTACTTGAAAACCATCAGTCTCTTGTGTTGTCAGTGTACGATGCCACTCAACTAAATGATTATCTGGTCCATATAAATCTTTATCCAATTCTATCACTAAACTTTTAAAAAATGATGAAAATTTCCTTTTTACCTAGATTAAGAATAAAGAAAAATTTACATTTACATTACAAAAATTTACAAAGAAATTTAAAAACATTTGAAATAGTTTAAAAATATTTATTACAAAATTTAGACAACTTGTGTAAAGAGAAAGTAAATTTCTTCCTCCCAGTCGTATGCATAATACAATATAATACCATTATTGCCTCTTAATGTATTTCTTACCTTATTGGGATCATTTTTAGTATCATCTAAAAGTCTTCCTTCTACTCTGAGTTCCCACGATGCTACCGAACCTTCTTCATTCTCAGTAGCTTCTTTAGGTGGATAAAAGGTATTGGAAATAAAAATCCTTAACTTGCGCTTTTGCTTCATAGGACGTTTTAAAGCCTCTTGTATATCTAAACGTTTTCGCATAATTGTGGCGTCTAATTTTCTCTCAAATGCAAGTAAATCCATATAAGCTTGAGACTCCGGTACCAAGTCACGCACTTTCTGGGGCAGAATTTTGTCGGCTAATTTTTTCTTCTTCTTAGATGTGGAATGTGAAAAGTCACTGTTCCAAAAATACCTAGATAAGTTTTTACGAAAATAACGGAATTCAAAAATCAAAAGAAATTTTGAAGAATTTTGGTTGTGATGTTGGCCATGATGAGTTTACTCTACCGTTGTTCCGTAATTCATAAAATTAAAGAAATTAAAGATTAAATTATTAACATAAAACGAACTTTATTTTACCATTAGGCACAAAGCTTTCGCAATTACAGTGCGCAATAATAGAAAATATGCAGTCTAATGTTGAAAAAAATAAAAATGTAAATGAATGACAAACATAATTATCGACGATGCTCTTACGATTTTTGTTGTGACATGGGTAAACGCTGGTCTGTGCTTCGTTTTCCACCGGGAGGCGTCGACATAGGTCCTTGCCTCATATTCGAATACGGTTGATTAGGTCTTAATATCCCTCCTGGTCCGGGTCCACCAGTTCCCATCTGCGGTGGAGGTGTGAAACCTGACCTCTGTTGCATCTAAATAGTATAACGCCATTAACTTTACAGAATAAGTGATGAATGAAGCATTTACATTAATAATATAATCGTGAAAGAATATTAAAAATTTTATCTCCAAATTATACTCTCTCCTTTCGTTAATTCTTTCCCAACGCATTATGGTGAGTAAAAGCAATAGCTTTAAAATAATTTAAAAAATCTAAAAGACTAACTTGACATTATGCTTTCATTGCAAATACAAATACAAATTTTGCATTAGAACAAAAGAGAAACAGATAATTAGTTGCCATTGCGATAATATAGGAGTGTACGGTAGACAGGATAGATTGCTTAAACCAGTCATTGCGTTTCAACGACACAAACAACAATTGATCAAAATTAATAAAGATACAGCAAATTATAAGTGTTTGGTATCTACCCGAATAACAGTACAGTAGAGTAGGGTGCAAGTATTTACAATTGTGCCCCTCTCTTCTTAACATTTCTGCTAAGATACTCACTTGAAAATTAGGACTAGAATACTGTCTTAAGTTTGGCGGCACCGCTGGTGGCGGATACCGTTGCGGTGGAGGGCCATTGCTGGCTGTATTGGGCACAGGAAACCTTTGTGCCATTTTTGCTGGATATAAAGCTTATCGCCAAAGATGCAGCTCCACTTACTCAATCATCTGAAAATATGTGTAAAATAATAACTGTAGAAAACACTGACGGGCTTTTTCGAACTGGTTTCCTGTACCGCCCAATTTGAGGTTATAAATTCAACAACACGACGTTGAATATAATTTTATCAATGTAAAAGTGTTTTTATAACCACACTTTATTTTAAGAAGCAATAGTAATGCGAAGGACAATAAAGAGTCGGGAAGAATCGAAAGTAACCTGCAGTCTGTAACGCTTAGCGGACGTTCCTTCCGATTAATTATACCAAAAAAAAAACAGGCATACCAATTACCAACAATGAATTTTTATTTGTAGAATATCGCGCTCATACGATTCCGAGCGAGTCACTCGCTTTTAAGCGAAATGGCCGAACTGCTGTCTTTATCCTTCTTACACTGACGACTGAAGGCAGGCCGAAGCCGAAGCGCCAAACAGCTTCGCTTTGGCTTTCATTTTGTTTTATTATATATGCCTCTTCATTTTATTAATATTTATTTAAAATATTTGTCTTCCGGGCTCTCTCGATTAGCTAAAGGACATATTATTTGTCACAAATATACTATGCAATATAAATGATCATTAAAAAGAAAAAAATTAAATTATTATGAAGTTAAGTAAAATGTTTTATCACAAAACTATGGATTGAACAAATGAATAAATTAAACAATTACTAATAAAGTTATAGAGCATTTTATGAAAATAGATAAAAAAAATAAAAAAATTCGAGTAAATAATAATGAATGCAAAGTGAAGTAGTCAAGTTGATTAAAGTTATGAATAATAATTTATAGAACAATTAACGAACATATACATAATGTTAATTTTTTGTATAAAAATGTGAAAATATTTTTCCTAAGAAAATTGTAATAACGTTCTAAAAATTGTTTGAAAAGAGAAATAAAGTTCTTATGTTGTAATTTATAATAAATGCTTCTAAGAAATAAAAACATTAAATCATAAAGTTTATTGAATTTGATTGTATTATATATAACTTGCAAATTATTAGTATCTTATAAATAATTTTTATTACCATTGATTTCATATTATCTATTTGATTAAATTGGTAAGTAGAATTTTTATTTCATCTCTATTTGTGATAGACAGAATTAAAAGGAAGTAGTTTCACAACTATTTTATAGAATATGACATTCCATGTATATTGGTCAAAGTAAATAGACAGAGTTTCTTAAATCTAACTTAATTGTATCGGAAAAAATAATGTATGTTTAACACTATTTTTTTTTTTTTTGTGATAACTAGGCAAATGATTAATTCTATCACTGATACGCACATACCACTTCATTATACAATAATTACAGATTTCTTTCCCAGTCATTACCTCCGATTCGCCTTACAATTTTAGAAATCACAGTTTACATTTTTACTGATAAGAATTAAATGTGTAGAATACGTGTGAAGGTTGTGATCACTTTTACACTTTTTGAAGATAATAAATTATGTTAATGACATAAAAATAAACGCTACATAAAATGGTAGTAAATATTCTAATTTACACTTCAGTCCAAATAATATAATTTTTGAGGCTTTAAAAGCCTTTTTCACAGTAAATGTGTTTATCAAAGTCAAAATTATTTCTTTGGAGTACAACTGAACAATGTATTAAATTAAATTTTTTTTTTTTTTTTAATTTAGTTTGAATAAAATGCATATAAAAAATTATTTTTGGTAAATCTTCAAAGCATTTGCTTTAAAATAATACATTCATTTTCATTTATACCTTCACCTTAAAAAACAAAAACAAAAGAAAACATGAGTTCTTTCGTAATTAACTAATATATTTGTAAAAAAGGTTCATTTTTATTAATCTTCAAAACAAGATTTTAATGAACAAGAAAATGATTGAATTTTACACAATCATGAATTATATACAATCGTAAATTGCCTTTATAATATTTAGCCCTGAAAGAAGTTAAACTGATTCAATAACTTCTACTACTGTATTTGCTTTATGTAAGATTTATACACAGTAAAATCATTCAGACATTGAATTTTTAATTTACTTTAATATTTTCTAGTCTTTTTTTTGTTTTTTGTTTTTTGTTTTTTGTTTTTTTTTATTTATACACTAACACATTTTTTTTTTTTTTTTTAGTAAATAATTTAAATTGAATCTTGTTAATAGTGCAAAAATTATTAAAACAAAATATTGATAATCGGTTTATAATGTACAATATTCTTTTAATTAGATTTTAAAATTTTATCAACATTTTTTTAATTCTGAATTATTCAGCTTTTCTTAATGTAGTCCCCATGTTGTACATTTAAAAAAACCACACTGCTCAAAGTAGATATAAGTGACTAGTTCACTTCCATGCTTCAAAAACTTTAATATCTTATATAATTTTACATTAATTGCATGAAAAAAATCAACTTAAAGGAGTGCACTATATTTATTACGTTGTAATAATAATATTACTACACTGTAATAATAATAGATTGTTAAGTATTGGAAAATTCAGTTCTGATATGATTTTTACTGTACATTTTCCTTTAATGTACATATAATAAAATTGATAAGATAAACAAAATATGGTACGTTGCACAAAAATATGCAGGTCTCGGTAGATTTACAATTTTATGTGCGAATGAGATGATCACAGTAATAAATGCCGTCTACCCTTAATACGATTAACCAAATTACAAATCTTCAGTGCTGGTCCAAGCTTCAATCCCATATACTTCATCATCATATCAGAATTCAAAAGCAGCAGCGCCTTTCCATCAATTTCATGTTTTCGAAAAAGATCAGCGTGCTGCTCTAATGCTGGATCCGTCATAGCAATATATTGTATCACATCTTCGATAGTCCATTCGGCAGGCTCAACCGATTGTACTCGTTGTATTGGATTTTCATTTTGTGTAGTAGATGTGGCTGCTTCAAATTCAGGAACAGATTTTCTTGGCTGCTTCACTGGTGGAGCTTCTACAACCGGATGTTGAATTACAGGCGATTTTGATTCCTTTTTCAATTGAGATTGCTGTGTAGTTGTTGGATTCTCTTGATTTTCACTCGACCATCTTCTTTTCTCTGTTGTACCATTGGTTAACTCCTCCTTTTTTATGTGATTCTGTTGCACAGCTGGACACTTTTTACAGATTTCTTTTCTTTTTGACAGCATATGTTCACACGCACACAAATCTTCTAACTGTCGTTTCATATACACATATAAGTCCTCTTCTTCCATAAATACAGGTAATACAACAGTAGTTGGTTTACTTTCAATTGTTAAAGTAATACTTTCACCCTCTCCACGCTTAAATAAACTCAATATTTGTCTTGGACTTATCGCTGCCATTAAGAATGCTTGAAAGATATCTTTAATAACAGACTGGGTATGGCCGTTAAACTGAGCTGGCAATGCCTTTACTTTTCTTGGATCAAAATATGGACCACATGAACAATTATGATTAACATAAAAATTAATATTTTCAATAGATACTGTTTTATTACTAGTTGTACTTGTATCAGGCTCTGTTGCTGGTTGTGGCGGTGCACTTGAACCAGCTGGACTTACTAAAGCTACAGCTGGCTCTCTTCCAGTTCCACTTCCAGATACAGCCATAACTGGAAGTACATTACTTGTCCTTGATTTAAAACGATTAGGTCCAGTTGACTTTTGCCTTGGTGGCTGAAGTGGATGGCCACTTTTTGAACACCATCCAGCTGGAAAAATATCTCTGGAATCGAAACGACACCAATAATCGAATGCACCTTTCCATCCATCAAATGTTATATGGATCATATCATCTTTAACAGCACCGACAGTTGCAGTACATATTAATTGCGGATTTTTTTTATCTATGGCTTCTAATTTTTGTCCAACTTCAAACATGTTGCAATGCGGTGTTTCCGGTTCGTGTTTAAACACTTTGGCAGGAGCCATTTCAGCTCCATTCAAAGTCTTTAATAAAAACATTGGCCAACTGGAAGCATTCATGCGAAAACCAAGTGGAGGCTGTAACATGCCGCCGGATTTTTCACAGTGCCCAATTGGATGAATTTCATTGCTATCCACCAATCGCCAAAAATCATTTTTATTATCCGAGCCATCTAATCTTAATCTAAGTCTTGGACCATGGATTCCTACTACAGTGGCGATACAAGTTGAGGTTACATTACGAGGATCCAATGCTTCAAGCTTCATTCCAATTTGAAACTCGTTTGTAGGAGGTTCGTCGTGTTGCTTGAAACATTCGATAGGTGCGGCTGTACTGTTTGACTCTTTTAAATATAAATTCCAATCGAAGGTTTGGTAGGTTTCATATTGAAATGTTCCCGTTGATGTAGAGGCTGAATTATTAATATTTAACTGTTTATTTGAATTTGGCACTGGTGATGTCGCTAACAATGGCTGTTCTTCGTTGGTTTTTTTGGTTTCTTCTTGTATATCTTTCTTCTGATGTTTATTCAAGCATACCGAAGAACAAAAATCTTTAGGAGGTTCGTTCCTTTGCTCTAGTCTAACTGGCGTTCCTCGTATAACATTATCGCACTGTACACAAGCCCCTCGAACATAAGCTTTACGAAACTCTGCCAAGCAAGTTTCACAACAAAATTCCTTCTTCCCATGTTGAGTAGGTAAAACATATTTTAGAGGTAACTTTGTTTCACCACACCAGGTGCAAGCAGTTCTTAATTTTGGAGGCCGTCCACGACCTCGCACTTCAGTTTGTGTTGATGACATTTTTTTACTGATTATAAACTACTTTTTTCAAATTAGTACTATGGTTGAAAAATATTGCATAGCCACGACATCCCTATCACCGTATGACAAAATACTTCATCAAATAATTTTGGATAAGCGATGTATTTGACAACTGTAAAATCTGAAACCTTAGCACTGATTACTAAGACACCGTATGGAATGAACTAATAATGCCTACGACATAATTTTCTTAATTTTTACAGGTTACTTGCACACGTATGACTGCGTATTATCGCATATTTTCTGAATATAAACAAATTATTGCGGCGAATACGAATATTAGCGATTCACGCCATTTTGGATTTTGCTTGATATAGTGTCGCCAACACTACAGACAAAAAAAGTGGAAAAATATTGCCTAACCAAACCTTGGCCTTGAATTTCGGGTATATTCGTCAATACCCCAATATGCCTGCGAGTATAGTACGTTTAAACAGAGTAGGTAAAAGCTTATCAATTTGAAGAAATAAATTAATAATGATATTCATAAATCTCAACGATACTTTGTATAGTAAGTAAAAATTAATCTTTAAGAATGTTCAAAATTTTTTGCCACCGTCTCGATCACTTGATAAAGCTTAAATTAGCCGCAACTATTAACGACTTATGATTGGATGACGGATATCGGAATTTCAAACAACGAATCAAATCGTATTTTTAAAAGGAAATGATAGATTTCCACATTTTATAAATCCACACTTCTTACTTTGCATTTGATAACTTCGACTTTGAGTGATTGTTAATTGTGTCTTTATTAACGAGAAGTAGTACGTATCTTTCTAGTCTGGGAAAATTCGATAATTATTTTGATATTGGTGAAAGACGGTGTCATGGCGATCGATTCCAAACTGAATTTTTCTTTCTTTAACGCCGCTCTGGTGAATAAGAAAATACAATTAATTAGTACAAAAATGAATCTTTTAATAACAAATAACGCTTCCTTATCTTCATTAACTATTTTTCTTTATACGTACTATTAAAATAAACAGTTTGAATGTCTCCAATGCCTAGAGATCTTTAGTTTGAAAATAAAAAATGGAGGGAATTGTCAGTAGAAACTAGCACAAGCACAGACGTAACTGGCAAGTGGCAGATGCCAAGCGGCAAGTGGCAACCATGAAATGAAGAATTCTGTTAGGATTATTTGCCTTGAAATTATCTGGATACCAGGAACCAACTAGCAGATGGCGTCGTATAACCTAACCATGTCAATTTGATGTTTCGCCTTACACGTGCTTGTATGGTAAGAGAATTTGCCGTTTAAATCCATGTCCTTTATAATACATTTTCAAGAGTGAAATAGCAAAGAAAAAAATCAACAATGGGAAAAAAGTCTAAAATTGGAAAGCAGCGGCGGGATAGGTATTATTATTTAGCTAAGGAGACGGGTAAGGAATTGATTTCTATTCATTTACTCTATGTGTAATATTTTATTTCGCTATTGTTTTTGGATTAATTAAGAATATTTGTCTTGTGTGGGATGCGAATATCAGGTTACAGATCGAGAGCTGCTTTTAAGTTAATTCAGTTAGAGCGAAAATTTCGATTTCTTCAAACATCAAGAGTATGCATAGACTTGTGTGCAGCTCCTGGAGGATGGATGCAAGTGGCGCACGAAAACATGCCAGTATCCTCTATAATAATTGGCGTTGATTTGTTCCCAATCAAGCCAATTCCAGGATGTCTAAGTATTATTGGTGACATTACAACGGACAAGTGTTGTACTGATCTAAGTCGTGAGTTAAAAACATGGAAAGCGGATTTAGTTCTTAATGATGGTTCGCCTAATGTTGGTAAAAATTGGTTGATCGATGCGTATCAACAGTCAGTTTTGACCCTTTCGGCTTTAAAATTAGCAACTAAATTCTTGAGACGAGGAGGTTGCTTCATAACCAAAGTCTTCAGGTCAAAAGATTACAACCCTTTACTTTGGGTTTTCAAGCAGTTATTCAAAAAGGTATATTTAACCATTTTAAACAATACGCGTCTAGATAAATTGTTAATTATTAATATGTTATCATTCTGTGAATTTCAATGTGACTATATTTTATTTATATTTATCGAAAATATCATTTTTCACAGTATGTACTTTGCTTATTGTATTGTTAAAAAAATAATGTAACTAAATATGTCCAATATTACATAGTTATTTGTGGAAATGTATTTCAGGTACATGCGACTAAGCCTCAGGCGTCGCGTAATGAATCTGCTGAAATTTTTGTAGTTTGTCAGCATTATTTTGCGCCCGATAAACTCGATTCAAAACTTTTAGATCCAAAACATGTATTTGCAGAAGTTGATTTGGAACCACAAAATAAATTAAATATATTTAATCCTGAAAAACAAAAAAAGGCTAAGCCACTGGGTTATCCGGAAAATGACTACACATTATATCACAAGCTGTCTGTTAAGGATTTCATCGCCAATGTAAGTGGTATAGACGCTTTGCAAAATATATCAGAAATTGTTATAGATGATGAAAATATACTGAATCATAAGAAAACTACCAATGAGGTTATCGAATGTTGTAAAGACATTAAAGTATTGGGCAGAAGAGAGTTACGTTTACTTTTACAATGGTGGAAAGTTTTAAAAGATGAATTTCATAAAGAGGAAACTGATAACAAAGAAAAGCATGATTTGGAAGAGGAAAATGTAGAGGAAAAACCAAAGACATTAGAAGAAGAGGAAGACATGGAAGATGAACAAATTATTAAAGATATTCAAAAATTGAAAGAAGAAAAAGCAAAGGAGTTGAAAAGAAAAAGAAAAAAAATTAACAAAGAAAAAAATAAATTAGCTAAAAAGATTAATTTGAAAATGGTTATTAAAGGTGATCAAGGACCAATTATGGAATGTGACGATATGTTTAGTCTAAAGCAAATTGAAACGATCGATCATTTAAAAAAAATTGAAAATCAATGCCCAGATCTGCTTGCTGAAAGTGACAATGATTCCGATGATGTTCAAACTCCGAAAATAGTAAAATATGAAAAAGGCACCGGTCATTTAGATAGTAAAGGTTTATATTATAAAGATGATGAGAGTGAATTAGAATTTTCTGAAGATGATAGTTCAAGTTACAAGTCAGGATTAGACTTGAGTGAATCTGAAGAGGAAGAAAAAATTATTGCACCCATTCCGAAGAAGGTGAAGTTTGTAGAAAACGAAAATCCTTTATTAACAGATTTAGATTATCGAGATAAAGAATCAAAAAAATTGACCAAGGCAAAATTGTGGTTCGATAGAGATGTATTTAAAAATTTAGAAAATGAAAGGCATGATGATATCGAAATAGACAAAATGATCGAAGTTTATAAGAAAATGGGTGGTAAAATTTTGGGACAAAATGATAATGACGATTCTGAAGATAATAAAATGAATAAAGATGACATTAGCGATTATAAAGATGATAATAATGATTCTGACTACAACTCAGACTATAATACAGAAGATGTGATGGCATCTGTAACAGAGTCTAATAATAAGACGAAAAAAAACAAAGTTAATGTTATATTAAAAGATAAACGTAAGTAATGAATTTTTTATCTTGAGAAAAGCATGAGTTAAATAATAATTATTCGCGTTTATTAGATAATTTTGTTTTTAAAGTATCTTGTAGAAAATTTTATATGCTAGAATAAAAATATTAAATATTATAACTTGTATTTTATGTTTTCTATACTAAAATCGATAATTCAGCGAAGAAGAAGAAAGAAAAAAGAAAATTAACGACCGAAGGTCTTGCCTTGGGATCATTATTAGTTCAAAGTAAAAAATCTCGTAGAGAGATAACGGATGCAGGTTGGAATCGATTTGCATTCAATGACGAAAATTTGCCCGATTGGTTTGTCGAAGATGAATCAAAACATATGAAAAAAGAAACACCAGTACCAAAAGAACTTGTAAGTGATTACAAAAAGCGTTTACAAGATATAACAGCAAAACCGATTAAAAAAGTTATGGAAGCAAAGGCACGGAAAAAGAAACGAGCATTGCGTAAAATAGAAAAAGCAAAGAAGAAAGTTGAGAATGTAATGGATAATACTGAAATTAGTGAGAGAGAAAAGGCAAAACAAATAAAATCGTAAGTGTAGTAATTGTAATTAAAAAGAAAATAATAATTATTCTAATACAATAATTTAAAATACAAGCAAATATTTATATATAATGTATAATTGATTTGGGATTCACTTTGATAAAACATACTCCAATATAATCAACATAACCAATTAAATTGATATTCATTTGAAATGTAAAAAAACTAAATTGGATAAAAATACATAAAATTATTTCAATTCTAAAACAAAATGTTTAATACATTAACGACTATGATGAATTTGTTTACAGTTTATATAGAAATGCAGTTAAAGAACCGAAAAAGGACGTGACTTATGTTGTAACAAAGAAATACATGGCTCAGAAACGAGTGGTTAGGCCCTCGAATGTCAAAGGACGATACAAAGTCGTTGATCCTAGAATGAAGAAGGACATGCGTGCACGAAAAGCAAAGGAGAAGACGAAAGGTCGTGGGAAGAAAACTAAAAGTAGCAAGCCCTCAAAAGGAAAATCACGAACAGAAAGAAACGGAAAGAGGAAGAAATAATTTACCGTTTATTTAGCAACATATTTCTATAATTTTATTGTTTTACATAAAATAAGTATGTAAATAATTGATTCAACGATATTTAATTGATGACATTATTAATACAGAATCGTTATCAGTGATGGGACCAGTTTCTCATAACACTAATTTATTAATTGAGTTGATGAATTTTTTTTGAAAATTCAAAAAATAGTATATACTACTTACTCTATGTATAATTACGAATTATACAATATTTGAACACAGCTTTAGATTATCAAAATTAGATTAATTGATTGAACTTGAAATATCAATATATATATAAAAATTATATAGATAAACTATTACATTTAACAAATTTTTTATATTAAATAAATAATTTAAAAATTCAAGAAATACCCCATTCACAGATGATTTTAATACTGATAGGTTAAAATAACGAAGAACTTAAAGCTATCATTGAGTTAATTTCTATAAGTAGGCTTTAATACTGTCGAAGTTGTTACTAATAATAGACTCTTAATCTTAGTAGTTGTATTATTAAAAAGTAATTTAAAAATCATTAAATCATTAAATAAATGAAATATTTTCTGTTTAAATGTCGAATTTTTAAGCTTTCCTTTTTATAGTTTTTATATCAAATTTATACTGTATTATAATAAAGAAAAAGATATTTTTATTATTATTTACCATAAGGTACTTATGTGACTGTTCAAAAAACAAAATGTTTTTAAAAAAAAAAAATACTTATTAATTGTATGAAACTGTCCAATTTTTGTCAAAAAAACTTTAAAGAAATGATTTTAATTTTTATATGGTATTTTCTTTATTATTAATTAAGTTTTACATAATGTAAATTTAAGAAAATCCTGAATTTATTATAACAAAAAATGATAAATCGTAATAATAAATTGTCAAACATAGAACTAAATAGTAAACGTAAATATGTACAAATATCTTTAAATGTGTAGACAAAAATTTGTGATTCTATTTTTATGTTCTGTTAATCTCTAATTAATTAATATAAATTTATTGTTATATTTTTTATTTGATTAGAATTTGAATATCTGTGAATATCTATTTTACAATTTGTTTCAATTATAAAACAAAAATATGTTTTCCCTAACGGATTAACTTGTTTAAATAAAAATGTGTTTGAAAAAATTTTACTTTTAATAATAAAATATTTATGTTTCGTAGCATGCACATAGACCAAAATTGTTATCAATATTTTTATATAGATCAGTTCGAATGAGATGTACACATCTCGCTCGTGTGCTGTTGATGAATTTATCAATTAAATACGTTTTTTAAAATTTGATTATATTATTTGAATGGATAATACAATACTCCTACAATTTATAATATATCGAAATTTTAATTTAGCATAAATGGTTTCGCTATTCTGTATTCGATCCATATGGCAATAAAAAAGTATTTTTTTATTTTTTAAAGAGAAAACAGTGAATTATTGACTTAAAAGTATGGGAAATAAGTTTATAATAGAAGAAAACATTTATTCAATTATTAATTACGTCACATGCCATTAATACTGTTCAGTACTTAAATTTTATTTATATTACTTAAGAATTAAGCTTCTTTGTTCTAATAAATTTGGAATTCAAATATTTTCACTATTGATATGTCAATTTTTATAAAAAATATGGTTTAACCAATATCGCGAAAACAATAAGTAATACAAATACATTTTATGTTATCTTATTTCAATTTAGAAAATATATATATATATATATATATATATATATAATTTTTTAATAGTTATTTTCACAAATATAGAAAATATTTATATCGTTAATGAATATTGTAAATTTTGGAAAATATTATTTATTTGGTATTTATGAATAAGAAAAATAATTCAATAATAATTGTAAGTTTAATATCGACAATGTAAATTAAATGATAAATTCGATATATTCGACAAAAGATTTTTATTTATTTCAAGGAGTAAAAGATTTCACAATATTTTAATTAGCTTAATTAAACCTTTTGAAATTCTTTTGATATTGTTTACTATTTTAAGTATAGCGTAAGAGATGGTAAAAGATCCCATTTTTCATTATCTCGTGATCATTATGACCGCGATATTATTGCAATGATTGTGATAAATGACCAGAACAAAAGCGTCAATTTATCTACGAAGGTTGTCGGTCTAAAGTCCAACATTCTAGGTAGAATCTCCAAAAGTGTGCCAAGAAAATTGAATGCTCTTTATTATCCAGCGGTTGCTGTTCAAAAATAGAGATCATATATGGATTTGTGTGCGCTTGTGTGTGTTACTCGTAGTCGTATGGGTGTATACAATGAAAAAAAATTGAAAGAGAAAATGCTTCATAGTGAATGAGTGCCTCAATGGCTCGACCTTGGCCTTGACATCGACCGCAGCGTCCCGACTCTACGCAGTTGCATCAAAATGCTCGCTCGATGGTCTCAAAAGAGTGCGGCACTTGCTCTGCAGGTGGCCAAGTGTAACTTTATAAAAAGTTTGGTATGACTGATAATACTTTATAGAGTAATCTCCTGTTTTTCTTATTCTTTCATTCATTTTTTTTTTTTTTTATTTACTTTGTATTTATTTAAATTGTACACTTGGACATAAAATAATGCGTAAATAATGACGATAACATAGATTTTACTAATACATTTTTCATTAATCCTGAATTTAAATGGCTGCACGTGCTTTCTTATCAGGAAAAGGTATTCTTAGCATTATCTAAGAGGACGAAAGTTCCAGAAAAATATTTTCAGCCATTTTTCGTTTAATATCAACGTTACCGATCTCCATATTATCAAAAACTATTCATATTTATTACATCAAACTCGTATAAAAATACTACCAATAAAAGTAACACATACGTACTTTTCTAAATAAATAGTTTGATACTCGCATTGATTTATTGTTCCAATAGATGAAAATAATTTTTTAAATTTTATATTAAATGTTTAAAAGGTAATTTCACGTTATTATATATTTTTATTAATTCCTTAATTTAACTTTACTCGTATAAACTTAATAAATATAATGTATGACAATGTACATTCTGATAACTTATTTTATTACATTTTCCACGGTTAAAGATCTGTGAAAATATATTTAATTAATACATAGAAATATTCGATTAAAAATAATAATAATAATAATAAAACTAGTGTCAGCACTGGCAGAAAAAGTTGAGTAAAATCAATGCAATCGTGCGCTATTCTGAAAAAAATGCAAAATTATTGAAACATAAAAAGTTAACATTTAGACATGTCAATTTCAGTTAAATTGTTTTTTACAATATATAATTAATACAACATAATATTTTCACATGAAGTAGTTTATACTTTTTTTCTTATAAAAAGTGAGCATACTTCATAAATATGTTCATTCGACAATATTCAAAATTGATTCTAAATTAACGAAAAAATAATTTTACCTTGAATAATCGGGCTGAAGGCTAGAAACTCACAAATATAAAATAATTTTAATGGCAAATTACTTAATACTAATAATATTGAGGATGACGATTTATATTATTTAGCAGACATAAATTTAATAAAAAATGGTTCGTATCATTGGAAATTTTATGTACAGAGGAGAGAAAATCACAGTAATAATAACTTTTATGGCCCGATCATTTATTTTTCATTTCGAACGTTGCTCTATTCGTAAGAAGTGTAATTTGAAGAAATAGTGCAGGACGAAGTACAAAATTGCAGTAAATGAAAATTTTTCACTTAGAGCTAATACATTAAACATTAAAGATAATACTGGGATAAGTATCATTGTCCAAAGTATCGTTGGCAGAAATATTTATCTCACTTTCTTCCTACTTCATTTCCTTTCATCTCCTATATAGACAATGGTGAACACTGCGCGCGAGAACGAAACGAAGAGGCGCTTGAAATAAAACGAGGTCAAGTTTAACGAAGGTTGCCTGTTGGTACGAGTATCAGCCCCCACGACATAATGAGCTGTGTTAGTCACTAATAAACCCTATTGCCATAAACGCAATGTACTTAACTTGCTATATTCACAGTCACGGTGATTTTCTTTGTCAGCATCTTCTTAGAAACTCTTCTTGTAATTCCACGTTGAATCGTAATGCAAAATTCTATAAAATTCATTATTCCTTATACTTCATACTTAATTTTTTTTCGCTCAAATCTTTTATGATTTTCATTGTTTTAACCAACAAAGTTGTTTCATACATTTTAAGCAAAATTAAATTAACGAAATAATTACTTACCCTATTCATTAAATTAACTATCAATTAAGTGATTAAGAAATACCTTTTTTTGCATTACCATTGTACACTGAAAGTTATTACTATATACTATAAATTTGTAAATTCTGGTTGAATAATAATAATTCATACTCACTTAACAACTGGTTTTAAGAGAAGACACAAAGACACAAACGAGAAGAATTTCATAAAGAACAAAATTACCAATTTGTACCCATTAATTTGCATTATTAAATATGTATACAAGCACAAAATAAAGTGCTTTTAAAATTGAAGGACCATTTTGAATTTTGCTTCCGATTCTGATTATCGGCTTATAAGTGACACGTTGTCTAATTTATTAATAAAATGGAAGGCCGCTAAAATATGAAAGTGACTACTATATTAGTTATACCTTCATGATTTTGACCTTAGAATAAATACCGAATTTACTAAAAAGCTACTAAAAGTCAAAGTGCACGACTAATATACATGAAATTTAAATGTTCGTACGCTACTTGGCTTTTGTGTGCGCGGGCGCGCGCGCGTGCCCATACTCGTGTGTACGTACAGGCGTCGGGAGCAACAAGTGTTGGGTTAACGTGTGATTTAGCCGAGCGACCTTGGAATGCGCCGAATTTCGACGATCATTCCCGGAAATCATGAATGGCGATCCGCGTGACTTATCGCACCGATGCCAATCCACTTATCGAACGTTTAGAAAATAACTGTGAGTGTACAGTGTCACGGACTTCTATCTGGCTTCAATCCTGATAAAGAAAGTATATTCAAATTTTTATTGTCTATCGACAAATACGAGAGGTGAACATATGAGTACGCTTATGTTTGCATAAAACTATCTTTTTAACATTCAAATATTCTTTTATCTTACTCTTTAGTACATAACTCTTTATGTACATTTAATTAATTTAAAATACAACATGCTTCATTAATTACA